CCCCCCCCCCCCCCGATATGAATGGATAGTATCAAAAACTCCCAAAACTTGCCCACATATGCTTCGATACTGGAATATATGTTATTGGGCGTTATAAACTTAAAACCAAAACGTTTAATTACCAAATTCCAAAAACCATTGATCACCACGAAGACAATCTTTGCCAGAAACTATGGGACAGCTGCTGTAATTTCATATAATTTGAAAGGAATAGCGCCCCCCGTTCCCCCAGTTCAATGTTGGTCCAACAAAAATCTGATGTCTGGATACGCGGCGCCAACATTGAAACGGGTGGGGGGAAAGAGGGTGGGAAATATGTATCAGGAAATGGTATATTACAATCGAATGCACGTGAAAACTAGATTGTCCCAATGTATATTGTCAAAGATTGTAGAAATAGATACATGCAGCAACCTCTCGCCCATATTTTCCAAATATTGATTTAACATGAAGTATTAGTAATTGACCAACAATGAACGCAGGCTCGCGTTTACGTCAGTGACTCAGTGTTGCCATGGCAACACGGTAATTTTAATTGTCATTATTCTTTTGTACAACACGGCAAAAATAGTGCATGTTTTACGCAATATTAAACAATGAGTACCACGGTAATGCTTTGCGCGCTTTTGTTTATGTTTACATACGGAAAATTTCTGTATCACATTCACATTCACTTTACAATTTGCATAATATTACGTATATTGCGTTAATATTTCACAAATTTTGGTCCTTTCAAAAAAATTTTAGTATTTTTTATGTAAAATGTCTGAATCAGAGTCTGATCAAGATTTGAATGTGTCGCAGTGTGATGTAGTGGACGATCTAAATGCGTACGGATCATCGACATATACAGGGCGCAAGAAGCAGCTGTTTGTAGAACGCATGTGAGTATAAATACCCTGTAATAGTTTTCTCGTTGTTTGTTTTATGAGAAATAGTTTGGTAGAGTATGTGTTCCGTATATTTATTGATTAAGTCCGTTTCATTTCAGTTTTGTAGTTGCAAAAATAGTGGCAATCGCAACGGTAGAAAACGATGCCGAAGAGCACAAACGTGCGGATCGCTTTTCATGTGAACGAAGGCAGGTTGTAAGAACAAGCTTCAAAAGGGAACAGTAGCAGCTACAAATGCCGAATGAAATCCTTTTGAGCGTCATCAGATACTTTTCCTGTTGTATTATTTATCTGAAGCTCTTGCGTTGATTATTTGGTACTGACACAAACACAGAAATATAGGAAACTTGGAAAGCATTATTCACAGAAACTTAATATTTTTAGGAATTCATTGGAACTTTGACAGTTGGCGAAAAGGATAAGGTACTGCTGGAACTTCTGTCAAATTGTGGTAAAGGTACTAGCCTTGATTATGCCAAACATCTAGTGCAATTTGGTGAAACAACCCCCCCCCCCAGTCCTTCCAGGGACAAGGCCACCATGGTGCACATTTGGAGTATGTCAAGCTATGCCAACTGAGGAGAAAAATAAGTGTTGCACAAAAATCACATTTGTGACATCATATGTGACATTTTCAAACACATGCGCAGCCTGAGATGCCGTGATGGCTATCGGAGTCATGCCGTGATGATCCCGGGTCATGCTGTGATGGCTATCGGAGCGAGATGCGATATCAGGGCAGAGAAGCAAGACTATTCAGCAAACAACTTTAGAAAGGCAGCATATCGCCAGTAAATTTTATGGCGGTGTAAGAAATGTACTTCACATATAATTTATCTAAAATATTATTATCTTTGCATTACCAATTTATATTATTATAGCAATTACTATATTATTATAGCTTTATTTTTTAATATTGTAAGTCCTCCATTTTGCCCCTTTATGAAATATGTCCCTTCTCTAATAGGCCCCTTTTCAGGAGGAACGTATTAATGTAAACTCCTGTATAGTAAACCCAACCCCATTTTATTACAAAGAAACACATACACATTGATTAGATTAATATTCTTCCTATATTTAGCATTTACAGAATTTTGTGCTTTATCATCAAATCCTTTTATTCTAGATCTATATTTGCAAGCAACCAATTTTCCATACTGTAATATTCCCGACCACCGCTAGTAACTCCAGACAAAGGGCCATACTCTTCTGGAAATCTATAAAACAGACAATATTTGAACATCTAACAAGCAAATGGTTTATAAGGGTACAGTACATAATACCAAATGGAGAGGTTTTCCTTGTTACTATAAATATGGGAAATGGGTAATGTCCACAATCAGTAGCTAGTAAAAAGTGGATTGCAATGAGGATGTTACAAATGATCCGATAATTGTCTCTTACCCTTGAACATCATAAATGCACAAAAAGGAAATGAGGAATCCTTTTTGGATAATAAACTGTACTAGAACATTCCAAAGGGGGGAATGGAAAAGTGTGGGGAAGTGTGGATTTTTTATCAGATGACTCATTTGCATTGCATATTATTTGAGTTGCTATCCAAACTCAAAAGATGCTACTACTTATTAAAACACTAAGTTTTCAATACCAGTAATAATTACCTAATTGCATTATGATCTGATTCCAAACTTGTACTATCACTCTGAAATTATGGGTCTTCATTGCATAATCCAAATTCAGGATTGACAGGTATGGAAAGATTCTCGATTCTGCTAATGTCGAGATTAGCAGATGTAGGTGCAACATCCATGGCTCTGTTAGGGAACAGTAAATGAATTAACCTTGATTTCCATTTCATAACAGGAGCACGTGCATCAATGTGAAATAGCCAATTAAGATGAGCCAAACGACGGGCATTTGTTGATGACATATGTTTATATTGGTTGAGAAATATTGATGTTGAGGATATATACCGTGTATAATAGCTGTGAATTTAAAGGTGATGTAAAGTCCGTAATGTAAACAAACGCTTTGTTTACATTTTGAACTCAGTGCTACAGTTGTAAAATATGATTAGATATATATTATACTGAATTTTTAACACTTTTCTGGTTCGTTATGCTTGTAAATGAATGCAGACTAGAGATTCAATTCAAGAAAGTTCGGAAGGTGCGAAATATTAACAACATTCCAAAGGTTGCTCCCCCACTGATGGAATGTTTTGATGCGCAAAATATATGCGCAGAACGGACTTTACCGCATCTTTAATAATAAAGAACAAAATATATATAAGATACAAGATATACCCGTTGCGAATACAGTAACTGCAGACTTAATTTGTATGGAAGCCGGACTGGCCCTCTTAGTGAGACAGCTTGTTAAGCGAGATCTCACTGCATGTGTACTAATTTTAATTTATACTAAAACTAAGTACCGCTTGAAAGAGGTGAGATGTCGCTTACCAGAATAAAGATTTCTTAATCTTTACACGAGAGAAATTCATCCCGCTTACCAAACTAGCCCCATATTCAGTAAACAGCCTCCCTATTCTAGATCTGTTATTCAAGGAAGAACACATTGTGTAACAACGCACTACAAGGCATTATGTAACAAGGCACTACTATTAAAGCACAGCACTACATTTAAACACAGCTAAAGGATGTTATTATATACACAAGGTCTGGATATGAGGTATTCTGCAATCTGATTGGTTCTATACTAGCAGGATATTAGCTCATATCCTACTAGTAGAGAAAAACAAAATGGCGGCTCTAACTGAATTTCCGATTTTTGCGAACGAGTAAACGGCAAGTTGTTCGTTTTTTGTAGCCTCTACAGGATTAAAAACACAATGAAAAAATTCCCACAAATTGTTTACAGGTTAGCAAATGAATTTTTAAAATTTAAAATGGTTAAAAATATATATTTTTGAAGAAATAATCGGCCGAAATAGCGAAGATAAAAACATAAACAAAATAGAAAAATATTGAAAATATCCGAAAAGCAAAGTCTGTTAATTCAGACCTTGTCTATATAATAAAACAGTTATTCCACTCACTCTCGTCGAATATGAGCGATAGCCGATTCGGCGCTACGCTCCTCGTCGGCTATCAGCTCATATTCGACTCGAGTTCGTAGAATAACTGTTAAATATCTACTGTATTTCTTACGTTCTATTATTTTCAACACTCACATGTCATTTGTCAGCCTCATAGACAATTATGGGTGACAAACACAAATTTCGGTCAGGTTTCTTCTATGAACAGGTGTTGAAGACGCAACATATGGCAAGGGTCGATCTAAAGTGTTATATAGAAAAGATATGATCATATGGGACGCAGATAACGAATCGTTTTAGATGTAAAATATAGAGAAATTAATTGCATTACAATAACAAATATGTAGTACTTACCATCGCCTGGACATTCCATTGATAATTGCAAAGGCTCATCTTTGCCATAATTCAGAAGCAAGTACCGCGCAAAATCACTTGTTCATGTCTTCGTTCCACATCTCATGTACATCCACATCTCATGTACGTCCTTCTTTAATTTTATAGGCACAAATCCTATCTCGACATGATCGGTATTATTCTTTATACATAAACACCATCACGCTATAGACTTCAATTTGTCGTTTATTGCAAAGATATTTTATGAAATGCTTAACAGTAGATCAATCTACATATTCACAGCCCAGAATTTCAGGAGTAATGCATAATTTATGATGAAAATTGTTCGGATATTCGCGGATTTAGTCACACAACTCTTATAATATACGAAAGTCGCCATTTTCCGAGCACCCTAAATTTCATAAACATTAAACATTCAAAGCAAACTTGCCCTATTTTTCACGATTTTCAATAGTAAATCAATTCTTCTCATTTCTTCAAACAAAAATTGCTTCAGAGCCCACTAATATTGGGCTACTTCCCTGTTCTACTTTTCCAATTTTTACATACTTGTTAAAATTGAGAAATGATTGGGTTTTTATAGTTTGTATTAAACCCTATATATATTTCCTTTTCATGAGATGATGCTATTCCATAAACTTATGTTAGCCGTATAAACATATGTATATTAACCAGTATATAAGTCAAAATTTTAAAACTCTAACAATATAGCACCAACTTATTTTATTCTCACTTTAATGTTTCATTGTATACAATTTGCTTTCTTTCACATTCTTTCATTTCTTTATTAAAATGCAATTTTATTTTGAAACAGTGTCACAGAATAAATGCATGCATGTAACATTGTAACCCCATGATTGTAACTATCTAAATTCTAAAACTTCCTCTAAAATTCCTTAAAACGTTCTTTACCATAGACATTTACATGCAATTATTGGAGATTTTAAAGGGTTTTTTAAGAATTCCTACGGTTAAAGTTTATGAAACAATACGACAATGCTAAAATCTATGTCCCATGTTAGCATATATCTGATTTTAGAAAATGACGTTAAATTAATGAGAAAAAGTTGCTTTTATACAGTGGGAAGACATGAAGATACATCATCCGAATTCCAATACGAATATATAAACAATTATACGAATATACGAATAATACGACTATATAAAGCCGCACGTAAACCATCTGGCCATTGGAATCATACTCCAGATTCATGAAGAGCATGAGGCATATTTCTGGATTTACTACCTGAATCGCCCACAGCGTTTACAAGCATGTACCGGATATTAGTTATATCAAGTCGATGCCCCAGAGGAAGTTGGACATCTAATTAGCGAGTTGTCACGTGAGCTCTCGACCAATGAGATCGTTCTATTTTCCATGGTGTTATCTGCGGAATTTGAACAGAAAAATTTGCATTCGACGGAAAATAAATCGGAAAAAATATTAATATTAAAATTTTCTTGCAAAATCTCAAGTGTTGTAGTACTACTGCTAAAGATCTGGCAATATATCTGCAAAAATCTCTGAGGTAAACTTTATTTTCAATGTTATTTTGATGCTTGAAGTTAGTCGACTCCCCGCGATGTGTTGACTCAAGTCTAAATATGTTTACGATGTTTAAAATGAAATATCTAGAATTCTTATGGTTCGACTTTCTTCATTTTTGGTAGTCGTCAAGAAAAATATATAAGCTTTAAATCTGCTGAAATGATACCGGTGATCCCCCGGCAGTTTTCGAGATATTGACCGTTGAAGTGACTACTGTCAACTCGACGTTCGCTAAAATGGCGTCTAATACCGTGGAAAGAATTTACGCCATCAAAGATGATATTTTCAATAATTTTTGTTAAAGTGCTGAAGTATTATTTAGAAGACTTAGGAGTTGTTTTAATATTTTTGTAGAATTTATATCTGTGCGATTTTCAAAGTTTTGTTCTCTTTGGCCGACGCGACTGGATCGTGTACGTATTTCAAGACGAGCTGATCGCCTGATCCTGGGGTTTTTGCATAGATATCTATGGGTTTTTGTGGCAAATCGAGCTGCGAAATCCTTAGCATGCACAAATCAGTGTCATAACAGCCCATTTCAAACCATCAGAGAGCTCCACTTGTTTTAAAGCAATAAAACAAGTTTTTATTGTATTATCATATGTATCATATATAATTAATATAAACAAATTAAGGGAGTGGTCATTATTTATGGGGAGGGGGGTTGTAAATGGGGGAAATAAGGATTAAAAACTTTGTTGGCCCCTCCCCCTCCAGACTGAAGGCAAACTTTTTGTGCCTCCCCCCTCTTAAAAGTAGAAACTTTTCT